GGCACAATGGAACAGCAAGGCTACACGAGGATCATCAAACTCCAGATCCTGATCCACAGCTGTCTGATTCTGGTAAGCAACTTCGTAGCGCCGGCTGGAAACTTTGCTGAAGTTTGAAGCGTGCGCTCCTGACACGTTTTAGATCTGTTATTATCGTTACTGCTGTATTAAAACTCGGAGACAGCGGATCTTGTGCGCTCTCACGTTTGGTTGTATCAGATGTGTGACGCGAGGCGTTTCTTTTCTGAACAAGCCGTCGTGTTAAGTTATAACCGGTGCTTTCTTGCAGCCGGGGTTTCTAGAGCAAGCGTGCAGTTGGGCGGGTGGGGGTTAGTTATTAAAACATCAAACTGTTTCTCCCGTGGTGACCAAGCCCCCACGTCTCCCGCGAAAGCGAACCTCTCGCAGAGCAGCTGGGGAGAGCAGGTCAGGAGAGACCGGTGAGCAGGCGGCTCCACACACAAGCACAGAGGAAAGGAATTCAGTTCGTGAAGAAAAGTCAGGCTGCATTCGAATGCTTCCATGTTGGATCAGGAAGCTAGTGCTGTATCTCACAGGAGTGTCTTAGTCAGTTTACGTGTGTGTGTACAAAATGGAACAAGTACTAATAATAATAAAAAAAACTATTTTATATAGCGCCTTTAAAGGTGACTTCTCAAAGTGCCTGACAGAATGACAACAACAATAAAAAAACGCAGAAGATGTGTACGATGAGAACTCACAGTGAGAGGAGACAGCAGGTGGGGGTTCTGAATACAGCAGGAGCAGAGGGGTGACGAACAGAACCAGTGAAGTAAAGGCTCTTCTACAGAAGAAGGTTTGAGTCTGGATCTGAAGGAGTTGAGAGAAGGAGACCCTCTGATATCCTTGGGGAGAGAGTTCCAGAGTTTTGGGGCGCAGCAGGAGAAGCCCTGTCACCCCTAGAGTGTAGACGGGCTTGGGGGACAGACAGGAGACCAGAGTCAGAGGAGCGAAGGCTGATAGGTGGGGAGTGGGGCGATAAGAGTTCAGACAGGTAAAGGTTTATTCCCCGCTGAAAAGAGAAGCAAAGAAACACAACGTTTCAGGTGTCACACCTGAAGAAGGCTCCACGGCTGAAACACTGTTTCTTGTCAGCAGGGAACAAACCTTTACCTGTTCCTTTGCAGCCCGCGCCTGCTGACGCGGCCCCCTACTCGAACTAGATCCGAAATGGCAGTTTTGTGCTCAATAACGGCGAACAGGAAGGGGGGGTTTTACAGGGGAGGTTTCGGGAAGGTGGTGTAAATGTCACCGAAGGCGAGACTCAGGAGGTGACTCTGCCCCTCTGGGCCGTGTCTGCAGTTACTGGGGCTGGCGGTGCTGGTGCTGGTCGTGTGGACCGGCAGGGATGGGAGATTCGTCGCCTTGCAGGACAGCGGCCCAGCAGGCAGCAGATACAGCGCGTTCCCCCACGCGGGTAAGTGGAGCCGCTGTCGTTGAGTGTGAAGCCAGTGCATGCAGGGACAGCACGTCTCTCGCACGTCTCCACAGTGCGAGCCACACAGACCCACTCATCTCCTAGGCCATGTCCCAGCTGTCCACCTGAGCCCTTCCTCCAGGTCCGCGCTTCTGTGACTGCATGCACAAGCGTGCACTTGAAGAGCACGAGGATTCAAAGAGCAGCGATTTAAACAGGGTCACGGGACCCCCTCGTGAAACGGCACTGGTTACACAGCTCACAATGCTGTACGTTGTCGCTGCCTCAGGTCATTTTGAGAAGAATTCGTCATTCTCCCCTCCCAGTTGAGGAAATTGAATGTCATCTCGCCTGCCCCTGCGCAAAAGTAGTGAGACATCGTGTTCGTTCATAGTGAGCTCAAAACGGGCGCCGTAAACTAAGGAGAGCTGGGCGATACGGCTCTCTGTTTGTTCAAACCTTCGTACTACTTGATACATTTCATCACGTCTGTCCCAGCACAAAAATGACATTACGAGGAGCACAGCACATTCATCCAAAGTGAACTAAATACGGTAAACTTGGCAAAACCTCACAACGTTATACTGTTAAATACGTGTGCTATTCAATATTCCGTGAACAAAACACACTGCAGGTAAACGGAGGTTCATCAGTCGAAAGGAGGGAACAAAATAAAAGCTTTATGTGAAAACTTCATACCTAGAATACATGCAGTATGAATCTAATGTAACCTGAGGACATTTTGCTTTTACATGAAATATTATAGGCAACTTCCCTCCGCTGTAAACGTGCCTTAACCCCAGACCCGGGATTATAGGGTCCTGCTCGCAGGGCGTCCACTGCCGCCCCCATGTGGCGACCGGCGTTACTGCAGGAGGCGCCGTGCCAGCTCCGTCAACTCTGCGCTCACACCCAGGGATTATAACTCCCTCAGCCCGCTTCTGAGAGGGCGCTAATTCGAGCTGCGCAAAGTCAAAAGGGCTGTGAGAAACTCCAGAGATGGAGGCGGCAGCGGGTTGATCTTCCCGAATTGCCCCTCTTCTGGCACACGCCGAGACCCCCCCCTGTAGGAGCGGCCGCTGACGGCGCAGCAGAGCGAGAGGGCCGGCCGGCCCTGATAAGCCCGCAGCGCTGTCAGCTGTCAGCCTGCGGTGTCCTGGCAGAGGCGGTGCTGAGCGTCGCCCCCGCAGATAGCGGCCACACAGGAACCCACAGCCCCCTGATGGGGGACTCCGGCCGGTGACAGACACACGGGCGGAGGAGAAGGCGCTATTTTAGGCTCGCCGCTGCTGCCCTGACCTCCGAGATAACACCGGGAGCGGTTCGGAGGATGACAGAGAAACGGCTCGGATACCAACTGAACATTTCACTCAGGGTTCCCTCCAGGAAACGTCCCGACAGCCCCGGGCTGAGGAAACATCCGTTTCTGTGTTACTTCATAGCAAGGCACGCTCGAGATGCACACATCGACGGGGTCTGGGTGTTTGCTGCCAGACTGTGGGTCAAGAAGGGTGTTGGTCCCAGACCACGAACAGGAGAACCGTCTGTCGAGACTGGGAAACTGCTGATGCAGCACCTGTCCAGAAACACCTGTCCAGTGTTAATTAATGATGCACGTACGTGCACATGGGATAAGGTGTGTGTGTAATCTGGGGTGCACGGTGTGCACAAGTGCAATGAAACGCTTATTAAAAAAACGTGAACCAGCGAACTGGATACAGAAAGCCCACAGTACAAAGCAGACAAAGACACACAGACGAGGAGCCTTCTCTGGGGCCATGTTGATGACTTATTGGTCGCCCACTTACGAAAAGACCTCACTGCTGTGGGGTAATTCAGAGAAAGGCAACCGGATACATCCCGGGGCTACGAGAATGTCCTGAACTAACAGGTAGAAGGAACAGAGACTCTGTGGTCCCTGAGCAGGCTGTAGTGTACGTTGCCGCCCCCGTGTGGTGGTACCTTGAATTGCACTGCCCTTTACTGTAACCCCGCTGCATCGCCGTCTCTCACTCCGCAGTGCTGTGTGTGGGATCGCCTCTGGGGGCTCTGCTCTTGGCAGTGGCGGCGCTGTGCTCCCTGGGAGTGTACAGGGAATCGGAGGGGCTGCTGGGAATGGTGAGTACCCTGGTGTGACACGTTTCGGCTTACGATCACGAAGGGCAACGAGCGCGTTCTCCGTTCTGCAGTTCTCCGACTCGCCACCAGATGGAGGTGTTGGATAGTTTCAGTCCATTTTTTCCCCCAATGAGGTTTTTTTGTTTTGTTTGCACTGTGGCCATGTTTCAAAATGTTTGACTTTAACGACGTTTTCAGTGGTTCACGAGATAAACAGGGGTTTTACAGAGACGAGGAAGACGAGACAGAAGGAGGCAGGGGGGATCCTCTCTTTCACAACACTGGGGAGTGCAGGGCCGTGGTGTGTGGCGATGGACGGGACATATCAATCATTTATAGAGTGGAAGGCGCTGTGTTCAGCCACTCACTCCTTGACGAATGCCCTCACCCCCCTCCCTTCCTCCCTTCCTCCTCATCTCCAGGATACATCACTCCCTGCCAGCCAGCCCTCTCAGGATGAGTCATGGTCTGTCTCCAGGGAAGTGAGCAGGAGCTCCTCAGCTCCATCCTGCCTCCAC